GTAATAATATGTAGTCGTATGTAATAATGTAGTAATTTATTGAAGGTGAATTTTGTGAGTTGCAATTTTTTTCTCTGGTGCTGCGGAAGAAGTGCGCTTGTTGACCTTAAAATGCGTGTAATTTCTTTTTTAATTTGATAACATATGCGTGCGCTTTTATGTGCGCGTAGATTATTTAAACCGACTTAAGTGCGTTCTTGACCTAAGACGAGTAGAGTAGTTTTTTTAATGCTTGAATTGTGGTAGTTTCCAGCTGATGTTTGTATCAACTTGTGTGTTGTGAATGGGACAAAACGGTAGGCTAAATATAGATTTATATCAAGTTTTTCAATAAAAACTAGAAAAATTGTTTAATTAGCGTGCAATTTTCAGACGATTTTGGTGGAATTTTGCGGGATTTTGTGGATTTTTGCTTGAAAAACACGGAAATATCTAAAATAAAAAACGTATGTTTTAAGTTATTTTTAGGGCAAAAAATGTGAAGATCGTCTTTATTGAGATGCATGTTCAACAATTTTTTCTTTCTTTTTTTTTTTCATAAACTCTAGAAAATGCAAAACACGGCTGTTAAACTTGATTTTCTTCTTCTAATTTTTTGGGATATTATTCAATATCGTATTATATTGAAAGCTGTATACAGTTATCTTTTTCATGCCAAATTTACATTTTCAATATTTATTTTCTTAAAATTGCACGAACACATTGTATAAAATTAGTTTTGGCAATTGAGCAATACTAGTAATTAGACACGCACTCGGTGACAAATAGTCCGACGTGTTTTACGTTTATATTAAGCACGTGCCACCAAAATGTAATAAATAGAAATTAACTAATCTCTAACTTTATCGTTACTGCAACGGTTGTTCACGCCCGACGTAAACATCCCATAGCGGCCATAGTCATCGATGACAAATTGGTTTTGCACAATTATCCGCATTTGCAACCAACTACCTAACCTTTTACGTTAGAAATAGAAATAATAATAAACAAAATAAAATCTTCATTCATTCTTAAATAAATTCGTTTATAAAGCTTAAAATTCATTATAAATAAAGTTAACAACCGCAACATGGAAAAATTTGAAATATATTTTTCCAGTACACTAAACCTTATCTTATCTCCTCCGACTTGTCTGTACACTATATATACTGCCTAATAGTGTACGAAATTACATGTATAACATAAGCGAATGACGCGCGACAAGTTCGATTCGTAATCGAGTACAATAGATGTCGTTGTCGTGGTCGTGTTGCGAACGGCAAGCAAGCACAAATTATTACGAATGAATAAACGCGCTCGATGTTATAAGTTCTAAACAGTTGTAAACATTTTCTGAGCGTGTGCGGCGGTGTGCGGTGTCGAGAGGAGGCGCCTTGCTTCATAATCGCGCGCCGGTCGTTTTCGCATTCCGCTGGAAAACCTCATGCATTACACTTGCAAATTACCTATACTTAAAAGTATGTTGTCTACACTTATATATTGACTAGTCAAGTGAGCAAACGCAAAAAATAAAATTAAAATTTTTTAAATGTTACATTTTAAAATGTGATTCTTAAAGTTTAATTTTTTTCTTTGTGTAAAGTGTTAAAATATTAAGCACTGTTTGCATTCGGTTTGTGTTTATCAAGAAGTGTTAAAATCGCTACTGTGGTCAGACGTGCTGTGAATTGTGTGCGCGCCAAGCTGATTAATATTTAAGTTTAGTGTGACACTTGACTCGACTCAAGTCGGATATACAGTACTCTTGCTTTACTGAAGGTTTAAGTGTGTTTGAATAATGCTAGAAGCATGTTTGTGCGTTTGTGAGGTTAAGTAATGATGGCTTCTGAAACGGTGCAGCATGGCATTCCCAGCTTGGAGCTGGCGCATCTCCGGGATATGTTGATTTTGTCTCTGCCGCGTGAGAATGTCAGTTTGTATCAGGATAAACGTAAATTACGTGAATTAACTGAAAATCACAGAAGGGGTGGCTTAGGTAAGAACAAAAAAAGATTAAAAGAGAATTATTGTGATTGTGACCAAGTATGACTTAAGTTAAGTCAAGTTTTAAGTATTAATTTTATTGTGGTTTGTTTGTATTACGAATGACGTGATTTTTAGCTTTCGTGCGTTCAATACTCGGCTGTGATTTTGACTTAAGCCTACTTGACTTAAGTCATGTCTGGTGGTCGGGTTATCATATACTCGAAAATAATTTTAAAAATAACATTGGTTTGATTAAATACTTTGTAAAACACTCTGTATATTTAATTTTGTTTACACAATTTCGACGTAACGGATTAACGCATTATAAAACACTCCTTGTATATATGACTAATTATTATTATTATTGCTGCACTCGGTATGTTTGAGGAACGTTTTAGATTTTTTTGCATACAAGTGAGAGTTCTATTATGGCGATGGATGACGATTGTCACTCGCTATCGACCTTCGCATCGTGACTCTGACGTTTCCTTTTCGTTTTTTGTTGCATTTCTATTTTGGTTCGTTTTTTATGATGCGCGAGGATGGTTCTCAAGTTCAACCTTGAATTACCTTGACTGGAATAATAGTCATTATTATTTTATATAATTTTAAATATTTTTTAAAAAATATTCATAGATGGCGTTGTTTTGTAAACAGTGGCGTCACTGGTTTTTATTTGATTTGCTATAAAATACACTTTCGTGATTCTTAAGTTCAACTTTGAATTACCTTGACTGAAAAACTATTTTTTCTTAAATTATAAATATTTTTTGAAGAAATACTCATAGATGGCGTTGTTTCGTACACAGTGGCGTCACTGATTTTTATCCGTGCGGCTATATAATGCAGTTCCGTGATTTCCACGTGTAATTTATCCGATGCGAGTGTATGTTGGTCAAGTAATTACCTACACTTAATAATTAGAAATCAACAGGCGCGAATGCCACAATAAGCGAGTTTATTATCCGTGGCGCGCGCGAGTACGCACATGACAAATTGAAATCGCTAATTGCCAATCGCGCTGCGCTTTATTTATTTTTATTCGCCGTTGACGCAGAGTTTTCCGTAGTTTCTAATGAGGAATTTTAATGGCCCTTTTGGCTGCCGAGAAGATTACCGATTAGCATGCGCATTGCGTTGGACTTTGAGAGTAGATCATGTGGAAAAGCGTTGGAAATAGAAACGTATGCTATGCACTTGTGTGTCGGTAACATTGAATAAAAAATAGATAAATTTTTGTAGTCGTGTTTAAGGTGTACTCAAGGTCGTTGCTGGAATGTGTAGGCACGCACCGAGTGATCTACACACACACCTCTGTCTTCGCTCCTCTCCGCGTACAGTTATTTAATTTGTATTGGCGCACGTGAGCAACATAAACGTTCGAACGTAGGTAAAGATTCAGACCGTAAGGTGCGCGCCGCAATTATCCATTCGCCGCATTTGGACCGTGACAATCATAAGTTGTGTTGTTTTGTATGTGTTCATTGTTTCGATGACAACGCCCATGCGAAGACATTTGTAGTGAAGTGAAGATGGCTTTGTGGCGGCTATTGTTGGAAACCATCACGGTGTTTATCACTGTTTTGTAAACTAACTATTATAAACTGACTCCACTTAAGCGCCATCTGTGTTTATATTTTACAACTACCATTTTTTCTTGAAATTTTTAGTAAAAATGTTTATAATTTTTACTTTCATGATCAAGACACAGTATGTGTTGATTCCATCAATAATATTAGCAATTTTATTTTAAAATAAATGTGAAATGTTAATAATGCACTTTAACGCCATCTAAGATTCAATTATTTAACTATAACTATGATTTAACCTCTATACTAATTTTCATCCCTCATTTAAGACCCTTTAAGATATAATTTTTGATACTTTAATAGTTATTCTGCTATTCGGGACTTCGACGAATCCAAAAAATCATAGAGCATCAAAATCCATTCAGCCAGTCATGAGTTATAAAGGCTGTAACTAACAAGACTTTGTTTTATATAGTACTAACTTTAACCCGCGGCTTCGCTCGCGAATATCTAAAATAATGAAGTTGCTTCCGTACGCGTCTGTAGTCGCAAAAGAAGTAACAATGAAGTAGAATGGCGGGAAGTTTAAAATGGCTGAAAGTATAGTCTATGGAAGTATAGTGTACAGTCTCCATAGTGTAGTCAATTGGATTTGATGTTGACGTAGCTGTCGGTAATACAGTGTGATAATACAGTGTGATGGTACTATAGTACTTAGGTTTGAGCTTCATTGCTGGAATGCTAGATGGCGTTAAAGTAGTCAAATAGCCAGATGCAGAGGTATTATTGGCTAAACAATTTCTTTATTTTATTTAAAAAGTAATTTTTTTTATTAAATAAAAAGTAGCCTATAACCATTCGGGGACCACTAAGAATATGTGTACAAATTTTCATGATGATCGGTTAAGTAGTTTTTGCGTGAAAGTGTAACAAACATCAGGACTTTCGCATTTATAATATTAGTAGGATAACTATAGATCTTACACTTATTTTACACTCATCAAGTGATAATTTCTCCACCAAACGTCACACCATTTCTCTGTTAGGTAATCTGAAGATTTCCTGAAAATTTTATCAAAATCAATTTTAGTAATTATAAATTACAGACATACTTACATACATTTTTATATTTATTTATGTATTGCCTATTATTAGAAGTTATAGATGCATCCATAGTTTAATGTTGCTTTAGTTTAGCTTAGGTGAAACTGTTTGATTCTTGAAGTCCGCGGAGGAAATGCATTCTCACGCCGATGCAGTCGAAAGCAATGCCCGGCATAGCACAACATATTTATAGGCGATCTAAAAATACTCTCTTTCTGTACGGCGGACGCGCCATACTCTGCGGTGTTTTGAAGCCTTTCGGATAAACCGAAAATTGAGTCAGTTGGTTTCCGATCGTTGGTCTTGTTCGTTAGTTACTTGTTTGCGTATTGTGTAATTATCCATCTACGAAGGTGTGAACAGTGAACATGAGTGTTGATTGTGTGTTTTCTTGTGTTGCAGCTGGGTCCCGTCCATCATCGGCTGCTAGAGGTGCGTATCGAGCCGTTGAAATCGAACGTAACAACATCGAGGGTATTTTTATTTATTTTATTTTTATTTCTTTATAAATATTTTCTTTCTAAGTACTACGTTCATTCTACGTCTTTAGTTGTTTACGTATCTTTCGTGTTTTCGCGAACCGAATCTTTCTAGGTGGTACAATGCACTGGTTTGCGTACGTGGGGCCAGACCCCCCTGCGCTGGACGAAGGTAAACCCCGTTAATGTTGATTTCCGCTCCGCCATTTTGTGTGCATCGAACCAATAACATTTTCTAACGTTGTTTGTTTACCGTTTATTTTTAAACACTAAAAATTGTGACTAAAAATAAAAACTTGCAGGTTATGTATATGTGGTTGCATATTTTGTTGTTTGTGCGCGTGCGTTACGAGCTTTGTCCGGTGCGAGGATTTTTGTGAGTGATTTGTGTCTTTGTATGTTTTTAGAAGACCGTGAAATTCGATTAAAGAATCTAAAAGAGCGCCAGAATGAGGAACGACAGAAGAAACTCGAGGAGATCAAAGCGCAAGCGCTGGCGGCTCAGCGCTACAAGGAACAGAAGGAAGCCGAGCGACGACAGCGCTTTGAAGAGTTGCGCGTGCGCGAGGACTCGCGCCGGCAGCAAGTCGAAGAGCGCAAGCGCGCCATCAACGAGGCGGAGCGTGATCGATTGGACGCTATTTTAAGGCGTAACCAGGAACGCGAGGCGCGGATTGAAGCGCGTAAGCGTCACGATAGGCATTCGCTAGTGTTTGCATTCGGATCATCCACGCCCCGCATGCTGGACCCAGCCCCGGAAGGCGGTACGTTTTGGGGACATCGGCGTGCCACGTCTACGCAGAACATCACCTGTAGTGTACCGGCGGGTGCGCCTGGTGCTGCGTGCGCACCTCTTACTCGCAGACAATCCGAACGTGAACTGGATGGCGGCAGTAAGAAGCGCGCTACGTCCGCCGGTGGACTTGAGCGTTCAGGCGAAGGTAATTATCCTGCGTTCAATTTGTTATTATTTTAGTTTTATTATTTATTTTTCTCTCAATCGATGCATGCGATATCACCAAGAGATTTATTTCTGTTGCGGATCTAAGATTATCAGTTCAGTTGGCAGAACGTCATGAGTGCGAGCGATGTCTAGCAGGTTTTCGGTGTTGTTGTCTTTCAGATGCGCTGCGAATGACGTCGTCAATGTATGAAATTTTCGGCGGTAGCGGACAGGAGGTGCCCGCCCAATACCACAATGTCTTGACGCGCAGCTCATCGGCTCATTTCGGTATTTTACAAAACACACTCTCATCTATATATTCTCTATACTACTTTGTTGAAAGTTGAACGCAAACGATGTGTCGATGTTCGTTGTTAAGTTTTCGTTATCGTAGCTCTGCGCGCCGCCATCTTGTGATGAGTTGGTGCGGCGGTGGTTCGTTCCTGTTGTTTCTTGTCTCTGCGTGAAGTCGAGTTGTGTTCTCAGTTCGCACTATTCTGTTATTATTCATCACGAATGCTTTGTTTATCTCTTCTTCTTTTTTTGTGTTGCTTTTTTAAATTATTTTGAAAGTTGAATAATGTTATTGGTTGTAGCTTGTGTCCGTTAATAATAATCAATTGCGGTTATGTGCGCGCTGTGCATGCTTGTATATTGGGTTGTATAATTTTGATTTGATTTTTGGTTTGAACGTAGTTTGTTGATTTGGGCAATATTTTCGGTTGTTTTCGCCAGGTACGCCGCCGACGACGCCGGCGGGATGCGTCAGCGGGTACGTGGGGCGGCGCCGCACCGATCTGATGCCGACCATTCCGACGAAAGACGCATCCCCGGGAGGACGCGCGAGCAAGCCGTTCGCGCGCTCACCAGGTAGGGCTTACTCGATGTCGCGCTTAGACCAGCTGGCGAAGCCGCGCCGGCGGCCCGACCAGCTGCCGCCCGTCTCGGAGCTTCCCCTCCACCACCATCACCACCACTCCCAACCCCAATATGCCGCGGTCAGTCGCAGCATGAGCCACCTTGCAGGCGTCGGTAAGCAGCCGCCGTTCGGATCGCCGCAGCGGCCGCTGCGCAAGGCCGACAGCCGCAGTATGCATCAGCTGTCGGTGGGCGGGGCGGGCCAGTGCCGCCTCCGCGTGCCACACGCGCCACCCAGTTGCGCCAGCAGCGCCACGCCTCCTCGGCCCACTCGGCCGGCGGCTTGAACGAAGGTACGAGCGTACACACCTGACACACACATGAACACACACACATGCACAATGAGAGGCTATGGGGCGGTGAATAACCCAGTTAACTGCTGCTGCTGCTGCGGTGAAGGTACTTCTAGTGTAAGAGCACAAGTTTCAGAGCCACACACTGGAGCTCCGCCTCCACAGGCAACAACAACAACAACATCGGTGTGATTAACAACGATTGGTGCAGGATTCTCCTCCCCTTTTTTTGTTCACCCCTTCCTAAATCTTTTAAGACTTTTACCATCTTTTTACAAATTTGCGGTGTGAGGTTATCATTAATCATTATTATTATTAAGTGAATAACAATTGCTTATCTTTAATTTTGTGATTACGTTTTTCGCAACTCATTTTTAAATAATAATAAGAATAACTGTGCATGTTGTGGCGCTTTGCTAATTTTTGCATTGGGTGTGTGTTTCTAGCATCGTCGCGACCGAGTAGCGCCCTCAGCCAGCAGAGCACTACCAGCGTAACGAGTTCAGTAAATCTACGCGTGCGGCCGATTGCGGCGCCGCGCCGCCCTCGCCCTGCTAGCATTGCCGTTACTGGTGTAACTACGACACCGGACAAGACGACAAAACCTCCACTTCCCAAGTCGCGGAAGTCCAGCTTAGTCAAATCGCAGGACAAACTCAAGCGGAAGCCAACGGCTGCATCGCCAACGGAGACCACGCCCAAGAGCGTGGCGTCACCTATAACGCAGGAAGAAGTTAGTATCGCGAATACTAAACCAGTTGAAGAAATACAAGCACCTCAACAGCCGCTGCCGCCGGCTCCAGTTGTTGTCGAAGAAACGCAGGTTGTGAAGCCGGATATTCTTCAACCAGAGACACAAGGGAAAGAGGAAGTTCCTGTAGTAGAGTATGTATTCTGTCCGCCATGTTGTTTTAATTTATAGATTGATGTTGCATTTTTGATGTTTTAGTTTATTGCTTGACTTGGAGCCCACGAAAGTAAACGACGTATTGGATACGCCCGCTCTGCCTGTCATCGCTGCCGCCCCCGTTGAAGCGCCACCAGCGCCCATCATTGACCTAGTGACGACGGACGGTGAACAACCGGAAGTGGTTGATATGACTGCGTCGATGATTAAGGTGCGCATCAATACCGAGGAGGAAGCTAAAGCTGCTTTGGCCGAAAGGAGACGTTTAGCTCGCGAGGAAGCCGAACGACAGGCGGAGATGGAGCGGTTGCGTATTGAGGAAGAGAACCGGCTCGAAATGGAACGGCAGCAACGTGAAGAAGAACAACAGCGGCTGTTGATCGAACAAATGCGCGCCGCCGAACAGGAACGGCTAGAAGAGGTAAGAATTTTCTTTATTTTAAGTCGCCATTTTGTTTTTTACTACAATGTGATGCTTGTAGGCGATTCGTGACACGCAACGACGAGAAGAAGAAGAACGACTCCGTCGCGAAGAGGAAAACCGCCAGAAGATCCTCAAGGAAGAGGCAGACCGCAAGGCGCGCGAAGAAGCCGAACGGCAGAAGGTCGAGCTCGCCAAACGACTCGAACACGAGGAGAAGGAGCGCGAGGCGCGACGCAAACGCGTCGAGGCGATCATGCTGCGCACGCGCGGCAAGAACAGCACGCCGCAACAGGTAACGAATGTTTCCTAACTCCACACGCCTAGCATTTCATGAAACATTCAGCAAAACATTTTCTCACTCTCAATAATAATTGTTCATAGGTTTAGGGCGCAATCATATAATTTTTGTTTGTTGTATTTATTTATCAAATATCTCATGTGTGCACATCAATAAAAATTCATTTGTTACTTACCAACCTGGTGCTGTCTTCATATGTATATGCTTTCGCTCTCATCTCCACCACACCGCGCCAACATTCGAAGGTTTTAAATTGCGATTGTCTTGTGTTTGCTAGACTGAGGAGAACTCTGAGAACTCCGAGAAGGTGAACGGCTCCAACTCGGAGAACTCCGAGAACGGACACAAAAACGGCAAGGAGATCGAGACCGTCGACAATATGTAATTACCCTCCGCCGCCACACGCACCCTTTGTGTGTGTGTGTGTGTGTGTGATGTGTGTACCTCTAAACGTTAATGTGGCTTACCTACTTTTAGCATCCCTGTCGAGACCACCCTTAAGAACGCAAATACTGTAAATGTCGATACACTAAGCACCGACGACACTTTAAATTCAAACAATTCTTGGCAACACAACAACCAACAGAGTGGTGAGTAGAGCAGCCGTCCGCCATATTGTTTTCGCTTCAAACACGGAAGTAAAAATGAAAACTTTTCTTGATTTACTTTATGTTTGAAGCGGAACATGTGATGATAGTGAATGTTTTAGTGATGATTGTCGTTTCTTACATGTTTGTGTTTTTGCAGATTTATTAATGTGAGTTGCCATGAATTCGTAAACACTAGGTGCTTATAAATGATTATTTTTTTATCTGTAAAAGAATGCGAACGACGACGGAAGCCGTAGCACAGCCTGAGTTGTAGAATTGCCGTCGGTTGAGTTTCTCACAATGCCGATGATAACATGTTAATAGTATTGTTTTTTTTTTATATATATTAAATTATGAGACGATAGTGTGCGAGCATTGTTTGTGCAATACTAGCTTTGACACGGCAATTTTATTTAGGTGTATTTAAATAATGGTACATTGACTGAGATTTTTATCAAGATTGATGACGAGAGACGAGATGAAACGTTGTTGCTGCAATCTTCCAGCTCGGTCTTTACTAGTCATCTTATTCGAATGAATGTTGACAAATGTTGCACGCGTTGATATATATATTTAGTCAAGTCAGGGTAACGATACGACTTCGCCTTGCATGTTTCTCTTTCGGCGTTCATTTGATTGTCATTCATGTGAATTGTATAAAAATGTTTGTATTTATGCGATTAAGTTTAAACACATTTTAATTATGGACACGATCAAATTCATGGAGCGCGACGATTGAGTTGAGAAAGTCGAGTAGAGTGTAGCATTCGTCGTCACTTTATAACAAGAAGTTTGCAGTTGGTTCCACTTATAAAGGGTCTAATGTTTAATCGTATGTTACAATAATTTTAAGCTAATCACACACACATACACACACACACACACACACACTGGCGGGCGAACCAGATGAAACACGACTACTTGATGTATAAATAACAAAAGATGAGACGTTATTATCCGTGCACCACGCGCGGAATGTGAATAATCGTCCCTAGATAGATAGGTAGATAGCGATTTTAAAAAATTATAGAAATTGTATTAAATTTAAATCACACATACACTTCATTGCGGCAGGCGCGCTGTGTGCGCGCTCGACCCTATATTTCTTTATTAACGAGAATATGAATATTCCTAAAACTTGTAAAAAATTGCTTGTTAAACAGTGCTTAATAAAATTAATAGATTTATTTATACGAATTGGTCGATTATATTATATAGTTCAGTCGATTGTTAACGTCGCTGGCGCGAAGATGAATGTATGAGACAAATTGTTGTTCAATATGGCGGCAGATCAAATTTCATGTATTTATTATTCCTCAAGTCACCGATTATCACTGGATTATTTTTTAATAAAGATTTCATCAAAGATGATCCATAAGCGTTTCTTTCCTCCTAGTTTTTTAAAAATCTCCGTATAATTCTTATATTACATCCAAACTATCATTGTATACAATGCAATTAATCATTGTTGCTATGACAGAATCCAACATGTCTGTATTAAATATTATGCGAATGGGAATTAGAGAATTATATAATTTTGTTTAAACATTAAATTCGTTTTTGTATGTTTTGAAATTCTATGAATAGATCAGACATTTTTTGCAGTGTGGACATTAGTGAGTCAGCAGTCAAGGTTACCCTCTGGATATAGAGTGGTGAATGGAGGGATATCAATAAATAACAGCCACCTCTATTTTAAGGTTTAGTATAAAACTCCAGCTCGCGTCATGTGGTTGTATTTGGTGTTGTTTGTGGTGCTGTACTTTATTTACAAATGCGCGGTGGAACCGATATTCTATTGGCGTAAACGAGGGATACCGCATCATACACCATGGCCGATCTTCGGCAACTTCTATTCTGTTATGATGCAGAAACAGTCCTTCCTAGGCTTTCAAGAAGATATTTATAAAGCCTTTGATAAACACCGGTAAACAGGCATCTCCTAATATTGTTTTTAAACAGGTGTTTACAATGTTATGTATTTTTATTTTGCTTTGTAGTTACAATGGTTTCTTCCAATTAACGTCTCCTACTCTTTACATCCGTGATTTGGACTTGGTCAAAGACGTGCTTGTGAAGCACTTTGATCACTTCACCGACCACCGTTCAGTTGGTAGCGAGTATGATGTCTTGTACTATAAAAATCTCTTCTCTCTGAAAGGCAACGAATGGCGTGAAATGCGCGCTTACTTAAGTCCTGCATTTGCTCCCAGTAAAATCAAAGCAATGTTTGATTTAATGTCGCAATGTGCTCAACGCCTTACCGAATTCCATCTTGAAAAAAGTCTTGAAACACCACAGATTGAGGTGGAACTCGGTGACATTTTCAAAAAGTACGCTAACGACGTTATTGGAACATGCGCTTTTGGAGTGGAATGTGATTCACTAAGGAACCCAGAGAATGAATTTTACAGGAACGGAATGGACGCGACGAATTTCACCGGATTTAGCGGCGTGAAAATAATGCTAGCGCATTTTGCACCGGATCTCTTTAAGTTTTTTAATATGAAAGTCCTGCCACAAAATGTTTCGGATTTCTTTATTAATCTCATCAAAGAAAGCCTTGCTTATAGAGAAAAGAACAATGTGATTAGACCGGATGTTATTCAATTGTTGATGGATGCTAGAAAAGGAAAACTAAAACATGAAAAGCAGGAAACTCAAGTGTTAGATGATGGCTATTCTGTGATTGAGGAATCTGCGGTTGGTAAAGTTGATGTGAGACTGGAGGCTACACTTTCCGATGAAGACATTGCATCCCAATGCTTCATCTTCTTTTTTGCGGGACTGGATACCATTCCTGCTTTGTTGAACTGTGCCATTACAGAGTTAGCGATTGATCCTGATATTCAATCGAGGCTATTTGTAGAAATACACACATTGATGCAAGAAACTAATGGAAAACCAACTTATGAAAAAGTTATGGAGATGAAATACTTGGACATGATTCTGTCAGGTTGAATAATTCGCTTAACACATGAAGCAATTTTTTTAATGATTATGTGCTTATTCAACTACAGAAACCTTACGAAAATGGCCTGCAGCTTCAGCCATCGATCGAGTTTGCACTAAGGATTTCACCATTGATCCTATACATCCTAACGAAGTTCCTGTAACGATTAAAGGCGGTGATCGTATTGGAATTCCTACCGGTGGGATTCAACGAGATCCTCGCTATTTTCCAAATCCTGAGAAGTTTGACCCGGAGCGTTTCGCACCCGAGAACGTTAAAAAAATCTTGCCTTACACATACCTGCCTTTTGGACTTGGACCTAGAGGTTGCATTGGTAAGTATCAAAGCTAGATTAATAATATCTACTGAAATATCACTGTAATTCAATTCAAGTGCTCTACTCATGTAAATTTTTTCTTGCCAGGAACTCGTTTTGCGCTGCTGGAAACGAAAATCGTGATGATTCATCTCCTGTCCAAATTTGAGGCTGTTGTAATAGAAAAAACTTCGGTGCCACTCACCTTATCCACGAAGTCTATGAAATTTGCGCCGGACAATGGCTTCTGGGTTGGTTTGCGGCGTCGTCAGGCTTGTCCATGAATATTAATCATTATTTGTGATACAAATATTTTATATTTTGATTTTGTATTATAAAACTTTGCATAAATAAAGTTGTTTTGAAATTTATATTATTGCTCTTATTATTCTATTATAATTACAGTTACATGATTGCGCAAAGATTTTCGTTTTTTATGTTAAAAATTAAAAGTTGCAATTTTTTAATTCTGCATCGAATATTTAAGTAATGTTTTTTCATAACTGTGACCGTTTAGGCCCTATTGGCCATTTTAATGAAAACACATGGTTCCATCGGAACATAACTGCGTTGTGATGGAAAATAAATATTTTTCATTAAAATTGCAAATAGGGCTTAAACGGTTAATGTTAGTAAAAAAACTTACTAAAATAATCTATGTAGAATTAAATTTTCTTAGTTTTAATACCTTTAATTTGATGAGAAAATGGTAGCCCTAAAACCTTGCAAAACCCATAAAAATGCTCATTTTGTGTTTCTTTTCGCTAATTTTGGATATTTTCGACCCGAAATTGAACGCGAACAATTCAAATTTTGTCGAAATACCCGCGGAAATTTTCAGCCTCCTCAACTTTCTGGGATCCGGATAACACCAACCAATTTTACCATTAGTTTTCGACCCGAAATTGAACAGGCACATACACACACATGCGCTCGTTCACATATGCAGTGTGTGTGTGTGTGTACTCGCGTTTAATTTCGGGTCGAAAACTAATGGAAAAATTGGTTGGTGTTATTCGGATCACAGAAAGTTGAGGAGGCTGAAAATTTGCGCGGGTATTTCGACATAATTTGAATTGTTCGCGTTCAATTTCGGGTCAAAAATTACAAAAGTTTGCGGACCAGGAATCACAAAAAGGGCATTTATATGGGTTTCCCGAGGGTCGCCCTCCGTCGTCCTAAATTAATTTCAACGGAGTATTCAATACAAAAATACAAAATCGTAAAAATAACAACAATTTTTAATGAGCATTTAAGGGTACTTCCTAAAGGTTTAAAGAATCTGAAAGATATTCAGCTAATTGAGGGACTTTTTAGCTATTACATGAGGATGATATAGTTTAAATTACTTTATTAGTTCCCGAGATACAGGGCAATTTCCACACTGACTGTTACGAAATTTGTAGAAATAGCCGTTTTAAAGGGCATTTTATGGTACTTCCAAAAGGATTAAAAGGTCGGAAAGGTGAGCGGCATGCAAAAAACTTTTTAACTATCATATGACAATGGGACAATTTGAAATAAATAACCACAAGACAATTTTCATGAAGGTACGTAAATTATATTTTATATTTGAATACATGTAACAGGTCTTTTGTTTACCATCCTTAAAACTATAATACAATAACATTTAAATTACCTAGCGTATTGTTTATAAATTAAGAAAATAAGAAGTTATCACTTTTTGCTTTTAAATGTTAAACGCCAGCAACTTGTCCATATGTAAACTTGAGGAACACTTGCTCAAGACTGGATTGTCCAAGCGAGTAGTCCTCCACACTCAGTTGCGTTTTGGCACCCTCCATGATACCAAACATTTTTGACCATGGCAAACCTGAGTTAGGTATCGAGAACGTTACCATCTCTTGATGCTGCTCGTGCAGAACCGCCGACGGAAAACTGGCAACCACAAAGTTGATCAGCCTCTGCATTGCTTCGGTATAGTCGGCCATTTTTTTCAATTTCACTGTCAGTGAGAACCCGCGCGCAAATTTGTTCTTCAGATGCTGGGTGGAACCAATACACTTGAACTGCCCGTTGACCATAATGGCTAAGCGAGTGCATAGAGCTTCGCACTCCTCCATTGAATGCGTAGTGAGGATAAGACATTTTCCTTCATCACGCAGCTTACAAAGTGCATCCCATAGATGACGTTTGGTCGCTGGATCCATTCCTAATAAATAAAAAGAGAATTGACATAAGTCAGGATCAAATAATGCAAACTTAAAATATGTGATCATACCTGTAGTGGGTTCATCCAAATATATAATTGGTGGATCACCAATGAGGGCAATTGATGTGCTGAGCTTTCGTTTGTTGCCACCGCTCATCTCGCGCACCTTTTTATCAAGATGTTGAATGAAGTCGAATCTTGTCGCAAGAGACGTAGCTATACTATTCACATCCGCCCATTCATAGCCGCGCATCAAACAAAACACACCGATAGTTTCACGACCAGTGAGATCATCAAAAAGTGCATCGAACTGAGGACAGTATCCTGAAAAGAAGATAAACGGTAAAAATGTTACAAAAACTGTTTTCTGTTATAATTACCAATAAGTTTGTAGACTTCTTTAATGTTGTACTTCAAATTATATCCTTTTATAAAGACATCTCCTGAAGAGATACTTTCATCACCGGTGATCATCTTGAAAGTTGTAGTTTTGCCCGCACCATTCACTCCTAATAACCCGAAACATTCAAATTTCTTCACTCCTAAAGATAATCCTTTCACCGCGTGGAAATGTTTGACCAGCTTGGAGGTGTAGTGTTTTCGGACATTTCTCAGCACGAGGTTGTAGTCTTTAATGGTGGCGTTATCCATTATTGAAATTTTCTCCATCTCCTTAGCAACATCATCGTCCACATCGGCGTCTATAAACTGAGGTTGTCTTCCCGACCAAAGATACAAGAGGCGCCCAAACATCTTAAACTCTTGCAAGAAAACCACCACCATCAAAACAGCGCCTACACACATTGTAATGACAATGTTGCGACCAATGCCTGGCCTTGTAAAGTTGTAATAATCAGATGTGCGCTCTTTACACTGACTGGATTGCATCGTGGCCCCAGACCAGCACTCGTCCTCGGTAAGTCCAAACTCCTCTATGCAAGCATCAACAAGCTTTTGGCATTGCAAGATCCGCTGGAATTCAAAATTGGTATTGCGGATGCCATTACTCAGCGAGTAATGTGGCATAAAGAGACAGATCCAATCTAGGGCTTTTGCCGTGTTTTCCAAGTCAAGACCATCAAAGTATAAAATTTCGACGATTATAAAACCAAACACTCCTATGATAATCGAAAAAAGAATGACTCGCATAAACCCGGTAGAGGGTAGTTCATATTGGAATGATAAAACGTAGATAAACGGTATCATACAGAACCCAAAGTATGTGAAGATCAAGAGCAGATTACCTGTAACCAAAATACACATTACATAACTAATTTAAGCAACAACCATTTTATGTCATTACCAATAGATTCTCCTTCTTTGAAACCTTCTTCTTGGAAACAGATCAAGGTGACAACCAAAATAATAATGGTAATAATGTAGGTACACCAGTCCCAGAGGTAGGAAACTGCCCAGAAGGTGAACACATTGACACCAGAGACAAATTGTAAATGCTTTGCCTTACACACTCTCTCACGCACATAAAAGAGAATATAAAACGCCGAAATAAACGACATACAAAAGCCGATATTAATTGCCATCTGGAAACCCAGATTGTTGCCTTGTTGCAATAGTTGGAACTGAAAACAAACATCAATGAGCATTAAATAGATCGCATATAGAAAACTTACCATTGAATTAGCTGTGAGCGGCAATGGATAATTTGCTACAGAAATTTCGCAGTCAGGATCAATTAACTTAACGATTGCATTGTAAACAAAGTTGACTACTAAAGGTGGTGTGTGGTATGCTTCATTGTTAAACCAACCTCTAATTAATCGCTTTGGTTCAGGAGAATTCACATCACCAGCAGATATAGGTGGCAAAAAATCAGCACCTATGATGTATGAGGAACGAAACGTGCCAGGTTCAACGGAAGCAATCGCCAATACCTCTTGCGAGACGTTCGTCACCTTCTTCAATTCCAGAGATTGATCGTTCAGCCACTTGGCACCTGCATTACACATTTCTTCTTCATCGCAGTTTATAAGCGTGACCGGATCGCGGTACGAAGATAACTCAATATCCAAACTTGGAAGTTCCTTTGTTGCAGATTGTTGCCCGGAAATAATTGCAAGGATTAAAAGGACAACAGGGATAAGAAATTGGACAACTAGTAGTTGCCATGAACGAATTGTGCTAAGCGCACGCTTGATGATCATAGCAAAGATTTGATTCTTTAGTAATTCCGTTCCAGTCTTTCTTTTCGTGGCACCCATATCAATTGTAGTATGATTCCCTTGTTGAGAACTATTTTCTTGCATATTGTGAAGGGTATTATCAGCGCCCACCCTAAAAAATGAATATTTACAGTTAAATATACGACAATAACATTCCTAATTTCTTACTTCATAAAAACTTCTTCTAATGTTGTTAAGGAGATGCCATAACTACCAATGCCCAATGAATTAAGATTCATCTCAAGAGCAGAAAGCATTTTCTCAAAGTGCACGGAATCTTCCTCGTTGAGTAGGTAGCTCAACTCGGATCCAACGTTGGAATCAACCTTAAGATGCGGAATATGCTGCGTCAACGCTTTGGTAACTTGATCTACATTGCAATGCGGCAGTTTATCCATAATCAACCTATACCCAGCGCCGTATCTTTTCTTCAGGAAGAAACTAGAGCCACAACACTGCAACTCTCCGCCCGCCATGATAGCAATCCTATCTCCCAATAAATCAGCCTCGTCCATGAAATGCGTTGTCAACATTATTGTTCGACCCTTCTTTTGACCCTCCACTAACTCCCACAATGCTCTTCTAGCAGAAGGGTCCATTCCAGCGGTGGGTTCGTCCAGCATTACCACCTTGGACCCGCCACAGAATGCCACAGCTACTGACAGCTTGCGTTTCATGCCACCCGATAATGTTTTGGATTGATTATTGCGTTTATCCTCAAGTTGTAATAAACTAAGATAATCATTGATTTCCTGAGCAATGGCTTTGTCTTTCATACCCTTTAATCTACTAAAGAAGTAGATGTGTTCGGCAACGGTGAGTTCATCAAAGAGAATGTTGTGTTGGGGGCAAAGGCCGAGACTATTGCGCACTTGACCCATTTCGGTTCGTAAATCATGCGAGTTGATGGTTGCTGTACCGGCTGAGGGAATCTCAAGCCCTGTTAGCATCGACATTGTCGTTGTCTTACCAGCGCCATTGTGACCCAGAAGAACTGTGATTTGATCTTCATACATTTTCAAATGCATTTGATTGACTGCTGTTTTATCACCGTAGATTTTTGTTAAGCCACGAATGTGGATACCTGCTTTGAGTCCTCTTGGGTCTTCTTCGTAGTTTCTACGGTCTGTGTTCATATCGCCGGGAATCGCACCTGTTTAAATATACATGTTAAATAAAATTACAATAAATTGGCTCAAATTATACTATACCATTAAATTCGGCTTTCTTTTCAAAGGGCCACGTAAAGATGAAGTGCCACGGTTTGGCCACGCCATATTTGCCCGGATAGATGGCTTCAACGTACAGTGCAATACACATGTAGATAATACTATCGATGATCAGCATTAGGAAAACATGTGCCATTGTGATGTTATCGTCAGGTGTCACGGGACTGAACAAGTTGTCCCACTGTAAACCTGCGCCTGTTGTTTCGAACATGCAGATAAGCTGAAAACCGTACGACATTGCCGTGTTGGACATCAATGAGGCCGACATTTTGGTAGACAACGTCAATTCCTGATACTTCATGTTTAGGATTGTATATGGTACCATGAACAGAAAGAATAGTACGCCACCGATACCAGCCGCCATATTTGCTAGAAATGATACCGTTTAAAATAAACCGTTTACAATCAACATTCGCCTTTTGTTACCTTTGTTGAAGAAAACACTAATAGCAAAACAAAGCGTAATCGTCGCAATTATGAACAAAACGAGGAAAATGAACAGCAGAATAAAATTGCACTTTGGTAACACTGCAGGGACATTCTCATCGTACCAAGCGTCGATCTTAAAAAGTGCCACCATCAACGTGACGGAGATGATCATAAAGAGGAAAGACTTTGTAAACCACGCTGTCCAATGCAACCAACCAGGTAATCCCATAATTTTCATGGCTTCCTATTTAACAATGTTGTTATCTTTCTACTTGCAATGTTGATTGCATACGTACCTTTAACTGACGCTCTTTTTCGGTAGTGATAACCTTGATAATGCTAATGGCCGTATATTGAAAAGCAAGCACCATGATTAAACTGATCATGGTCGACATGGCCTGCAGTAAAATGTCGTCAATGTAGGAAGGATATGGAAACCGCCGCAGCTTAACCTCTGGTTCTTCAAAATCCAACTTTCCGTATTTTATAGCTTGTGCTTTGGCAATTGAACTAGAAATTGCGCTTTGGAGAAAAAGAAATCCCTCACTATAGTAATCTACAAAATTTAAGCAATGTTTTATATTCACAAGGTGAGCTCTTAGCTTAAAAAAATACCTGGTGAAGCGGTGTAGTATGATTGATCACGTGGCCCCGGAAGTTGAAATACCGGATACAGAATATTGGTTTTCCATGTGTCGACAGATACTGAACTGAAAATCCTTTGCATTTCGGAAGGAAATCTCAAAGCAAACTCCATTTTTTTGGAAAGGCCTTTAAAGTTGTCCGGAAAAACGATGCCGACTTTTTGTAAGTTCGGATTGGCAACTAAAGCGTTTTCTAATTCACGTCCCGTCGAGTACCCCCACGCTGTCATGCCAGTAGGGGAATTGAGTTTAAGAAGCGCATCATTAACAATTCCAGTCACATCCGTGTGGTTTGGCGAATAGGCCACGTGATAATCAGTTAAATCAACTCCATTATATATACGATCCAGGTGAAAATCAGAAAAGGTCGTAACATCAACCACCTCACTCTCAGCCAGAGAGCGCACCGCTACCAAGATGGCGCAGAAAAACACCGGAACTAGAATCTCGAAGAAGGTCTGAATTGGGTGGCGCAGTTGCAGTCGCCAGTTTTTCCACAACAGCAGCAGGAACTTGTCGAATCCTTGCCGGTAGCCGGCCATTCTGAAAAGAATACAAAAGCTGATAACAATATGGCGTACATAATATCAGTACAAATATGTTTCAAAAAAGCGTTCGGATATAAATACTTTGGCGGCGAGAAGCGAGTGTAGCGAAACATTGTCGCCACGAGCGTGATGAACCGTGTGAATAGCAGCAGTGATAACGATGATCGTGTCGAATATTATTTCGCAAAAATCTAATTAACACGCCACATTTCACATGTTCAATGCTGTAAAACGCTGAAATTTTCATGTAACAAAATGTGTTTTGATCGTAATCGGCATTTCAATCGTCACGCTTGCGCAATTAGATTTATTTACATCGACTTCCGGTTTTTGTTTTGCAAGTTTTTTCCAACTTCGGCGCACACAAAAAGTACATAATGATTTAGGCTTTCAAAAAGAATAATAAAATCATTTCAGACAATTTTATGAATGATTTTGCAAGAAACCTTGAAATGCCGATGATTAATCGAGCATTTTATGAGATTAAAATGTTTTACAGTTTAATTGAATGATAATCATAATGATGATATGGCGTTATTGTAATATTGTCTGGAGTACTCAAAGTCTATGGCGTAATCACATATTGGGATAAACCCAAATACTTTTTAAATATAAAAAAATAATTTTTTTTCCGAAAATTAAATTGACCACAATTAAATAATACGCAAAATATAACTTTCGTGCAATGTTGGTTGCTTACATTAAAATAATCTGTTATAACCAAAGTTTAAAACTTCTTAAAGAATAATGATGATTCAAAAACTTACTTTATCGTAAAATATAACGCCCAGGAACACAAGTTTACACCTCACTGTTGCAGAATTCGACTGACGATTGTTGCTGGATAATCGATCTATTTGTACTTGGTGTTCATTCTAACGCAAGCGATATCAGCTGGAATGGCCCATTCCCATACATCACAATTACGTCTGAGCATAGAAAAATGTGAACCAATCGCTGATAAAGCACAATTGAGTGGTCGATAAGTGCCCGCAGTCAGATGATATCAGCGGGCGTGATCTCCCAATCTGTCAATGTGCGAAATACTGCTTATCTTGATAATAATAAATAAAAAGTACAGTTGATTCATCACATGACTATTCACGCGCCCAACTTATCATCAAGATCAAGACAAAAAACTATACAAGATTCTTACAGATAAAATACTGCACCTTGAGTGAGTTATACGTGTACATTTGGTTGCATAATAATACAGGTAGCAGTGACGCAAGGTTAAGGATAACCTGATACTAGTAAAAAGGTGATATTTAATCAGTTAACTGTTTTTATAATCAATAAATGCATCCCTCTTTATTTAAAATGCCACCAACTAGTTCATCATAAAGACTATTTACGTCCACATTCGTAAATCTATTGTAAACGTGCCCAGAATAACTCACACCAGGGTGGTAATTGTCTAGAAGTTGGAAGACCCAGTTATGACAATTAATTAACAGATTAATTGCAAATTAATTGCAGAAGATCGGACTGATATGTAAACATATAAACGTTGTGCGTTTGGTTTAAATCCGCAGTGCCGAGGACACTTTGCGCGAGCGCATAAAGATGGAGTCAATTTTAGAGAAAACAGCCGTCGCTGATTGCGCAGCGTCCACGCGATAGTGAATACCGCGCTGTTGATAGTACGAAACCAGCGGCATCGTTTGCGAATGGTACGAATCCAGACGTTTCTTCAACGCATCGACATTGTCATCGGAACGGCGAATAAGCGGCTCGCCGGAAATGTCATCGGTCATCGCTTTTTTCGGCGGCGCAAATTCTTCGTGGTAGGAACGTCCAGATGGAGGATGGATGAGACGGCCGGTGATTCGGCGCACCAATAAGTTGTCATCGATGCCGAACTCAATGACGGCATCCAATTGCGTTTTACGTCGTTCTAACAAACTATCCAACTGATAACAGAAAATAAAAAGTTAGTATTTAATCAGTGATCAAGGTATTGACTTTGACACTTTGACTGTGATTTTAAAAAAATTACCTTTTCAGCCTGTGTTACATTCCTGGGAAAGCCATCAAGGAGGAAACCATTTTTACACTCGGGTTTGTCCAGATTACTGTCAATCATATTGACTACCAGATCATCGCTGACTAGTTTACCTTCATCCATGATTTTTTTCAGCTTGGCACCCAGAGGAGAACCACCAGCAACTTCACTCCTCAGCATGTCTCCTGTTGATAAATGGCACACACAATACTTTTCTTTGAGTAACGGAGCCTAAATTAAAATAATAATATGTAAGTATGATTATTTGTTGTATTCTGAAGGAATTACATACCTGAGTTCCTTTACCGGAGCCTGGCGGCCCCAATAACACGGCGTTGATTCCTTTTCCTCGGACATCATCACCGGGGTAGTCATACATGTGCGAAGGGGCAGTGGCTGCTGCTGTCGGCGGCATTGTTACGTTTGTGAATATGCGACGGCCGTGTAAAAGTGCAGAAGCGCAATGTTATCACCGGTTATCACAGTGATTAAATTATTATTGGAATGAGTTGTAATGTCGGTGCACGGGTCACGCACGATCGACGTAAAGGGGGTAGAGGGACGCACAATTGCACCGTAGCCATACAAGGTTATGTAACACGTGAAAGTTAACAGATGATGACACTCTATGCAACACACAACGCACATTACAAAAGTTCAGCAAGTGAATAAAATTTAAACAAAAATCGTATTTTAAATTGCACTTTAAAAAAATATGAACATTTTATTCATAAAGGCACTTCTCTCAATGTTTTGCGTCGTAAAATTCATCAGTAATAACATTTGATAAAAAAATATAAATTTGTCCAAAAGAATTGCAAACTAAATCATTCCGCTCCATAAATAGAAACAAATGCAATTGATAAAACCGTCTAATAGTGTTTTACGGTCCGATACGCACACATCCGAATCATCGTACTTACTTGCCGTTCGATACACCGCGTACAAATCCTGAAATAATCGTATTTTATAAATAAAAGTTTAAAAAAAAACTTCAAAACGTTGAAAACTTACACCGCGACTTGTATGCATGTCAATGGAAAGCATCATGAACGCTCCGACATAACGCGGATGCAAAATCACATAATGTTGCACATTACCATCATCTGAAATGTACGTTCTATGTTGGTCCTGGTATTTATTGAGCAAGATCTTCGCCAGTCCCTGATACCACGCAAACGGTTGACGCACCAGCGTGCCTAGGTTAGGGTGAATGTCACAGAGATTTTCCAATCGTGCCAAACCTTTCAACTCAACAAACTCGCCGTATGTTAACTGCCCAGAGTCCTGTTGCGTTAAGAGTTTGTTCCAAAGTAAATGAGTTCTACAGTGAACCATGCCTAATAACATTAAAAAAATTAATATCTATATAACTAGGTTGTGTGATTAAAGTTGCCTATACCTTGAGTGACCATATCCCTAATAGTCTTCTGCGTGTTCTCCGCACAATTCAAAATCAACTGTTGCATCAATTGCTCATGCGACGAGTAATAACCTAAATAATTCACCGATTCTTGTTTGATTTGCATGTAGGACGGCTTGCGTTTCAATCGGGAGCGTTTATCTTCAATGGAATCTTCATCAGTCGACTGATAATTCGGTAATATTTGCGATTTATCCGACTCAGATTTCAAATCCAGCGATTGTTCAAGTTCACGATCGGACATGACATCCTCATTATTCGCTTGTTCCTCATAATTACCACGACTGCAGGAAACAGTTCGGAATTTGCCTAATTTTCTCTCCACATCAATTTTCGGATAGATTTCTCTTCTTGTAGTCAATATTAAATAATATTTCAAATGCAAATTGTACTCATTCGTATCCCCGGGTGAAATCTTCGAAATAATCAACGTAATATCAAAGTCATCCGTATGTTGCCGATCCTGTGAGTCCTTATATGACACACCGGAGATATTAGACACTTGAACCAACACATACTCTGTGGCATTCGTCAACTCATCAGACATATTCACCACGTTGAAGTTGTACTGTTTAACGTTGATCAACAGATAATTATAAAGATGTTTTCCTTCGGTGCGTAGATTTCTTATGACAATCGTATCGGCATGTACTAAATTACGCGCATAGTTCGGTGCTTTATTATAGTACTTCATAAAATCATCTAGAAATGCGTAAGGTGATAACCTTCACATACTTTGTACCCGGCGGTGTTTCCAATGTAATTACAAACTGATCTCAGATGGAAATCGTAGGTGAATGAGTGTAAATGCGTGTAGACTTTGATTTTATCGGATTCATCCAAGAATGATTGAGTAAACTATAAAAATACAAGTTTTATAGGTGTTATTATAGGTTATGTATTAATATTTTTGGTTTTGTACGTACTTGATTAATGGCGGCGCGTGAGTTTGACGTGGCGATACGATTACACTCCACCGAATGTAACTTAGTGATGAAGAAAGGTTCGCATAATTCCATTGTGAATAACAATATTCCACCCAAGGATGGCTTTGTGCATGTAGTATACTTCCCTCTGAACAATGTGTTGCTTCTTACCAGCGCCATGTTTCTTCACCGGATGTTCCACTTCCAACGCCATGAATCCCAAAGTTTGTAAATATCTTTTATATTCAGAGATGAAAGCTTGGAATAGCACCTCATGCCATTTCTCACCATTCGAATCCGGCAGAGTATAATTCGCCGGATTCATAATGGAATGATCCCGTGTCGCAGCTGCTTGTAACCTCAATCTTGGCAGATACAACAATGGCGTGTGACAATAATGTATCACACGTGAATTCTGAACTAGAAGTTGTATTTGTCCTGGTGTGCTGGAATTCGTCCGTGATTGATACATCGAATACATTTTCTTCAACTCCTCGCGATTCTTTTTATCCTGTTTGCGTATTTCATACATTTCCACAGTTGCTGCGACAATCGGATCAAAATGATCATCTTTAACAGTGCGATGATGATCTCTGAAGATTTCCAGCGGTACGCTGTCATTTGGGTTGCCGCGTTTTGTATGCTCCTTAGGAAACTTGATCATAGCCTCTACGTTTCCAATACAATGTATATAGGGATTACTGATGTTGAACGTATTCCTATCCATTGCCTGATTATGAAAAACGCCTAATTTCTGCGCGCAAGTTGCACTCAACACAGCCGCACGTACATTCAACCATTGTTCCACATTATTACACTGATTCCTCAGTTTCATAACCATTTCCTTAGACCAGTTATATGTATACAACACAATCTGATCACTTTCAACCACACCCCATAATAGTTTCTGTCGGGATATGAACTGGTTATTCACATATCCAGGCAGAAACTTCTGATAGTGTTTCAACGATGTTTGTTGTAATTCAGGATATTCACTGCCATCTTTTGACAGAAGGTGCATTTTCCAATGCTCGAAATTCCTCGCAATTATAATCGCTTTTTGAATTGAACAAGAAGCTTTATACGGAGTATAAACATTTCTAGACACATCAAACGCGAAACACTTCACGGTGTCATTACTTAAATTACCAATAATGTTTTGTAACTCTGCAATAGTGCCATACAGAGGATGTGAATGATGTAATCTCATTACAATACACCGCAGCGCAGGCGCTTTGATCTCCATGGCAAAATCAAACCATTGTTTGATTATCACCACTTCGAATATATTTACAAGTCTGCCATCATCGCCTGCTTCGTATGAATCTACAACAACACTGCGTACACGACTCGTAGGCACATGCGAGAAGTTATTATCGAAAAATATAGCGCGTTGTGTTGTTGATTGTGGCGGAATAGTCCGTTTAATCCTTCGTCTACCGGCGACTTGTTCATATTTTCCTTCATTACGCTTCATAATCTCGTTGATATCAGCACCCTCTAGTGTAGCATCCAGTGACAAATGTATACGATGTTCTTTCGTTTCGTTATCAATCAAAAACTTGGCGATTGGTAACTCTTCATCAATTTCCACGCATAAACCTTGCTTGAGAAAACTATGCTCCATGATAATATCCCACGTTGCGTGGCTTGTAGCCGCACAAAGTCGTTCTCTTAAGATGTCAAAATTAACACGTCCTTGTTTCCATATTCTGAACTCTAGATACACTGTAGGTGAACTGTTTTCCACCGATTTGGAAGCGATTAGGTTGATATATTCTTTAGTTGTAATCAATTCTTGTAAATTTATATCAATCTTATCTAAACTTGTACTTGATTCTTCAATTATCGCCAGTGCGATGCAAGCAATTCCACGACTACCAGACGCTGGATTCGTACTTTGATTGTAAATGAAAATATTATCATCGATGATCTTGTTATTTTCATTCTCCGTGTAGTCTTTAAACCGGAAATTATTCGGATCGGTATATTTCGGTATGTTGAGAAACTGCAGCAGGTTTTGTTTGAGATAGAGAATAAAAGAATCGAGGAATTTGAGCGAATATTCCTGAATAGACAACTGTTGAAGCATAAAAAATAAATAAGCGGCCATTTTGTTGTGAAAAGAGGTTATGTACTTACCCGGATTATATCCTCGGGTTGTTTGAATGGCTTCTGTAGGAAGTGGACATCTTCCGGAGTGAGTGGACACATCGCATTGCGGGCCAACATCACGGACAACAACTCCAACACAGCATCATCCAGACGATTTTGTAGAACTTGCATTAAATCCCGGCGAATATCCTCACCTACCTGAGTGATTCCGTATACTTTTAATGTGACAGCCTCTTCACTATATCCTTCTTTCGTGTCTTTTTCACCGAAGGATCTGACACGTGGACGAATTTCAGACTAAACAAAATTTTAATTATAAAATTTAAAACTTTTTTTCTTTTTTAAAAACTTATAATAAACTTACACTTGTTGTTGATGAAATACTAAAATCCGATCTGGTAAGTACACTCCGCTGTGGTCCAATTGGTAACGACGCAATTGACGGACTACGACTCACAGGTTGTTCAAATTCATTCGATTTCATCGGCATACCCTTAACGAAAATATTATGCATATTCTCATGCAGTCTCAGATAGAACACATTACTATTACTATCTTTATACACAAACATATTGCTTCTGTTCGTGACGCTGAATTTATCCAACACTGTCTTCAACGCTGATATCCCTATAGAAAGCCCTGAACTTTTACCAGGACCTGTTTTCAATCTCGGATGTAAAATGAAAGGTATCTCCCATACGACAGGACAACTAAAATATCCAACTTTAAAGGGTAAACAAGCTTCAATGTGCGGTGAAGGAATCGATTCATTCTCATCATTCATTTCCTCCATACTTTTAAGCCTCTGCAACACCGTCCGGTTGATATTATTCTCATTCCAGTCGGAGTTCTCGTCCGGTTCCAAAAGATGATTACAAGTTCTTGTATCATGTAAAGATTGTAATAGTAAAGCTTGATTTACACGTTTGCACAAATTGCGAATCTCGAATAAAACAGCACGTTGTACACTGAGATAAATCCCAACGTGGGTTGTATTCAACTCGAGAAAGCGACAATGGAAGTATACTTTGACGACATCTTGTTCAACATGTGTGACTAACCAGAAATTCGGAAGATTTGAGCGTTTGTTTTGTAGATCTATCAACCAAGCGTAGTCTTCTTCAATATCACTTACATCTTCATCATAACCAGCCTCAAGATTGTCATAATGTATGCTATTCATGCTGGAAATATCACTTTGTGATACTTCAATGGTGTCACCTTCGTTGTCATTGGTTAATATCCCAGCCGCGACTTCCGCTTTGTATTTCTCCCATAATTCATTGTTTGTATTCTCATCGTCATCTTCATTTGACTTAGTAAGATAATATAAATCTTCTTCTTTTGATAATTTATATGAAGGTATAGATATTTGACAGAATTCATCAACAAACTTCGCATAGCTTTGATTTGTGCCATACACAAAGTTTAAATCGATTAATTCCATTATACAAGAATCTCTCGATGAGCTTTCACTGACGTGTTTCATAACAAAATGGAGGGTGTTGCTTGACACAGGTTCAATGTCTAATAACGCCGTGGCGATTTCATCCTGAAGAAACCATCTGATTTCATCTTTTAGTTTATGCACCGCGCGTTTTTGTAGATCAGGAATGTAAAACAAAGGTTCTGGTTCTTTGAAATCTGAGCTAAAACTCGCTTCGGATGCAGAACTGCAACTGGGTAGAAAACCATCCGAACAAAACGAAGTCGTACGGAATCCTTTGGTGGAATAATCACTGATGACATTCTGTACATCATTCGGCAGTGTTAAACATAAAACATCCAAAGATATCTGCATTGTTGTGAAGTTTACACTGTCATCAACATCAATACTCTCTAATAAGTCACTCAAACACGTAGGTAGATATTGTACGGAAATATTGTGCACTTGATTGTTGTATCTGACTGTACAAACAAAATGGAGGAACAACGGACTTAGATCTGTATGATCTACGATTTTCACCTCGTCATCATCATCATCTTCATCCTCAGAGTCGGTTAATTTAAACTCTACGCGTGAATTCCTCGATGGCAACTCATCATCACTATCCACATTCTTATGATGTATCATTTCATTCAAATTTCTGCAGTAATAAAATTCCCTATCGGCTGGTATAGGCTGAAATGCATCGTTTGTTATCTTTAGGAATTTATCCTTGATTAGTTTGTGTATAGGCCGTAGTTCATCACATGGCGCTGCTTGTTGAAGCTGATCCAATTTGATATCATCTTTCGATGAAGTTTTAACATGCGCACACACAGCTTCTATATAATCAGTGATATCTATCTCAAACGGTGTTTCTTCACATTGATCCATCGCAGCGTGCACGTCCATGCAATCAATGAAACTGTTACAGTGCAAAGCATTGAACAAACTCAACGCGAAACATTTTGAATGTGTCAATACAATCGCTTTACAATGTTGTTTTGCGTTATTTCTTGGTTCCATTTCTGACTCGTCACTCTTAGGCTCCGGAGATGTGTTAACAGAGTCATCTGTTTTCAATTTTATAGAATCCGGATGAAAGTAGTGGCCATGTTTGTATCGATGATCTTCATACACGTCACGGATTTTTAACTCGGCGGTATTTATGTAGGAATCAACTAGGATACCAACTGGACAGTCGTAGACATATACAGGAAGAGTTATGACGTGTTTAACATTGATTGGTACTTCACTGCAATTGCTATTCTGTGAATCAGCGCGTTCTGATTCTGTGGGACTGATGCTAGTATGAGGAGTGGAAGTGGCCATTGTTGATTCAAGTGTGACCATGTCTTTCAAATCTTCTAGAGTTGCAGGCACGAATGTTAATATAACATGCGTCATTGAAACTCCTTTAACGAAACATCTCCACTGTGATTTTCGCATGCAAGAATAATCGTGTTCTTCATCTGGTAGATCTTTCAAAGGACAAAAATGTGGGTCTTTATTGCGGTGTCTATGACACACTTGTGTGCGAAACCGATGGCTTTCAATCTCGGTCAAGGATAATTCATGATCATTTATCCAGTGTAAATGTTTCTGGATATTATCCAATAAAAGTTGATTTGCTTTCGTGTGATTATTTGTAGAAACAATTTCTTTTTCGCGTTCTTCGATGAACATCGAAAATAATAATTCCGTTTGCTGGCATAATGGGAGGATGTTAATCGGGTCGAAATTAAAAGGGATGTGTTGAATTCTTTGTACTAGAGTAGGATTCCAATGAGTCCTGTGAATGTACATAACCAAATGTTAATTTGGTTGCCTAACTTACATAACTAACCTTATGTATAAAGATATTAAATGGTACTTACGTGTTAATATCTGAATTCATCGGTGGTATGACACAGGACTTGGAGGATGAGTTGTACCTCCTTCTTAGAGATCTCTTGTTCGTTGTAATAGGCACATCGGCATGATCCGCATTGTATTTCTCCTGAGATATTAAACTCAAATGTTCAATTGTGAGCAATGAATGAATACAGCGCATATCCATCAATTTTATCTAAAAATAAAACAAAATTCTTAATAAATTTGTTTTTTTAATACTTATTAAGTTAATGAACGTACCATATCGGCTAATTCGTAATAATGCATCCCATCCATATACGATATCTTCGGATTAACCGGCAAAACCTTCCCGAATTGCGGTTCAATCCACACCTCAGTAACAATTTGAAATTCCGAATCTGTTTTGTTATCAAACTCATCCTCGGACCCACTGTTACTTTTATAATCATCACACCACACACTATGTGGTGGAAAGATGACATATTGCAACACACAACTTGAGTTACAATCCATCAATAACTCCAAAACCATTGTAGTAATTCCAGCAGCCGAATGCGCAAAATTGAAACCCTCTTTAATCCTCATCTTAGTTAAAGTGCTCAATATTCTCGATATCGACTGCATGTTTAACTTCAGATGTGGTAAATGCTGAGCAGACCAAACCCACCTCTGATGAAATAAATACCTCGAGAGTGTTGTAAACAACGTCCCTGCTAAAGGTGACGGAGGTAAACTTTGTTGCGAATTCTGCGTGCCATCCGGAAAGATTACCATGTGAAAATCAGTTGGCATACGTTCATATCTAATCAGAATCTTCTCCAGAGGTTTCAAAAGTAACACACAACCGATATTATCCTTTGATTTTAACGGAGTAGAAAGATACGACAATGATGCTAAATCAGTTCGCAGTTCTTCACAGATTCTATGTCTGATATATCCAGGCGTTCCACTGACAAAACCTAACGTGATTGTTGCGCATGGTAACTTTGAAGTTATCCTCACTAAACTGAACCAAACCGGTGGACTACTAGTCTCTTGATATAATAATTTTAAATAAGTATGATTATCAATCAAGACAAATGAACTCCAATCACTTAATAGATTGTACAGCGCGGTTGCAGCTTGACGACATTGTATCGCCTGAAACCTTCCGGATGAAGACGATAATGATTGTCGGTCGTGTTTGAGAATAAGCGAGATTTTATGCACGTGAAACCATTTACGCCAGTTGTTCGTATCGATGTGACAAAGCGGTTGCCAAATTTGTGTGAATTTCGAACCTGGATCGCTTGGTGTCAGCGAAAGATTACAAGACATTTCGTGTGAGTTTGTGCTAATCGCTGTGAATACCGGCATGCCATTACGTACACTATCGGGAAATGTGTGCCATGCGTTGGAGCTTTGAAACGCGGACAATTGTTGCGCCAGGACTGTGTCACTGGAGGATAATTGTGTGGAACGTATCCAGAAACGTTCGAAAACGGCTTGTCGATACGTTGATTTTGTGTCTTTCTTCATTACACAAGTTATATCATGCAGAAAATCGTATGGAGCTGCGGGAATTATAGAAAATTAACCTCAAATGTATATTAACCTCAAATATATAACCTATAAGTTGATAAGTTTACCTGATATATTGATTTCGATGTGTGTGACGTTTTTTCGCACCGGCCATGATGACATGAGTTCGTAATGGATGTAGATGTATGTCTTCCAGTGCAGAGTCAACTTTATACGGAGCATTTTGTTCATTGATTTAACATCCTATGAATATTAAGGTTAAAATTGAGGTTAAACAGTGTGATTTTGGGTAAATTAGGATATTAACTTACATTAACTACATATCCTTCTCTCATTCTTCTTGAGACTAATAGAAGCAGTGTGGAATTGACTTTTTGTTCGCTTTGGCGTTTTACTAGTAAACTTGGCACGCGATTTATAAAATTAGAATTGCTGAAATAAATCAAATATTACTTAAATTACAAAATAATAACAAAAACAATTAAAGTAAATGAATATTTGTGAAAACTAAAGCAATTTTAATTAAAAAAAACAAAGAAAATTTTTAATAATTTGCTTACCAATCTTTTATTTCTTTCTTTGGACATAGATTAGTCTTAAAGTTGCCATGGAAGGACCACAGTAAATATAACTGCTGATATAAGTTCATTTCTAAAGTTGGTTCAGGTTTCTACACCAAAAATTTAAGCAAAAATTTAAAATTTTGAATTAATTGTTGATATTTTTGTACTTACGACTACTGGGAATGAATCCAAAACAGTTCCGAGCGTGGAATGCGACAGGAACTCGAGGAGATCGTCGTACGACACGTAACCGGCACTCGTGTGCGGCTTGAAAGAAGAACCGACTTTCAGGAACGAGACGGAGATTCCGTCGTAGTGCAATTGGTAGAGAAGCGATTCTATGATGTTCGAATGTGGTACAGCGACGACTCCATCAGTTATGACTAGTATATCTTTAAAGAAAAATAAATTAATTAGTAATACACACAAATGTCACCTGTTTTTTTCAATTATTTAATGAAAAAATCATGAATTTAGCTTATTCAATTTGCATTCAAGCAAAATAAGATGTATAAACAATAAGATAATATTTGTTCTATATACTTAACGTAGAAAATACTAAATTCATTGATAGCAAACTGAATTTGAATATTATTTGACCAGAAATAACTTTGAAACTGCGAAAATAGCAAAAATTTAAATTATTTTCTCGAAAAACAGCACATTTTCAACTCTTTGTCGAGAATTAAAGTTATTCCTATTTTCTGTAGTAATTTTTATTAAATTATTATAAATGTACTTACGACTTAAACTATTTTCAGGTAACAATGACGTAGCTAACATGGAGTATCGCAACATGTTGACAAAATTAGAATCCGGCGAAACCATTGCAATCTTAGCAATGCACTCGGTTTCCGCCAAATCAAACAATCCACCGACCATCATTTCATTGTCAAGCTATAAATAAATACAAAAATATATTAATTTTAGCATATTTTCATTTTCAAATTTTCAGTAATTTTACCATTTGTTGTTCAATTTCATCATAAGCCCGCGCAGATACTTCTGCGATACGCCCCTCAAGCAAATGGAACTGCGTCTGCACCGAATTGATAATATCCTGCACATTGTGACTAGAAACCTGCACTCCTTTAATAATAACCTGCTGTGCAGGGCTAATAAAAAACGGCGTGTTGACAATCACGGTGAGATATAAACTCGGTTGGAATTCTAACGCGCAGCCAGGTATTGTAAACTGGAAAACAAAACAAGAAACAAATCATATTATATACACACATAAGTTACAAGAATAATTCTTTCACCATTTTATTCTGCATTAAATTCTCTATTATATTAAGAAATTCACAAATTGCAACCGATTTCAAACAAAGTTTTAAAATTTTTCAACAAATTTGATTAATTTTGTCAATACTTTTTGTTCAATTGCAATTTTTATGTAATATTTACACAGATACTAAAGAACTTAACACAGAATAGTTTTAAGAAAGAATTTTTAGTGATAATTATGTTAGTAAAATGTAATATTTACCTGTCTACATAAGCCTAGTAAACTAATGCGGAAACAATTGATGATTTCGTCGAAAAGCACCTGGCCGCGGTCCACATCCACGGCCGAATGCGATGGACTCATGTCCAGGCAGTAGACGAAGCGGTATACTTGAGACAAAAAGATCACTTGCGTTGAGGTGGTGACGAGGAATTGCGAAGCTGAGTCGAGATCAGTCACCGGGACGATTGATATAATTTCCAAGTCATTTGATTGATTACTCTAAAAAATAAAAGTTAAATATCAATTAATCATAAATTTCTTGCATAAAGTTAGTAAAAATGTTCCAGAAAATAAATAATCCATTAAAATATTAAATATTCTACTGTACAGACATTTTAATTAAGAAAAATATCGAAAAATGTTCAAAAACTGTTTTTTTTTTCAATTTTCATGATTTTTAAGTTATTCTTGCCCAGATAATAGTCAAATTTACTTTGGTAACAATACACTTTGTAGTTTTTTGTTATATGTATTCAAATCAAGTATTATCTTCTTTTTACCAACGAAATACAAATAAAAACTGGTATAATACAAGTAAATGTTTGTTCTGCAAACATTCGATTCAAGATTCTCCTTGAATACATAATTTTGAGGCTTGAATTATTACAAAAGTAAACAAAACTCACTAATTTAATATTGGATGGCACAGTTATGACACAATTCAGATGGTCCAACAACCACTGAAACCTGGCGGCCCTCGACACCGGTGTGTTCTTTGGCAGCAGCAGATACACACGTGCAGCTTCCACCAAACTAGCCCTCGGCTCAAAGTCATTGGACATGAATCCCACCGGGAATATTCCATCTAAAAATAACATTATTTAATAATCTAAAATCTAAACAATTCATGATTTTGTATTCACTGAAGTTTTTCATTAATAACTTCAAAACGCAACAAGTTAGAAGAATAATTCCTTCAACATCTTATTCTGTATTAAATTCTGTATCATATTAAAAAATAATTTTGTTGATAAAATAATTTAATAACAAATTATAAGCGTTTTTGTAAAAAGTTTCAAATTTTTAACATGTTTAACTTTATTTGCTTATAACTTTTTATTTAATTGAAACGTTTATGTAAAAGTTACACAGCTAATGTATAATTTAACACAGAATAAGTTAATGAAAGAATTATTTCTCTAACTGGTTGCATTCACGAGTTATTAATTAAAAACTAAAATAATTAATTGTAGTTTACCTTGAAGCGGTTCTGATTCACTTGCACTTGTATCCCCGGCCTCAGCCGTATCAGCAACATCTCCCGATTCACCACCCTCAGAGTCCACCTTATCACTACCACTCACTTCCATAATAAACAAATTACAACTGCACTAATTTCATTAAATTACACTAATTAATCCAGCGTTAAACTGCGTGTTGATATGTGCAGCGCGTGCAAAGTACAATCATCGACTGCATTTGCCAGCCGCATAATGTTCCACTCAAGCATTAAAACGCGCATCAATTATGATAATGCGATAATGTCACTCATTATCACATTCGGCTGGGTTGTTTACGAAACTAATAATCATCGCTTTGCTTACAAAAGCGACGAATGCGTGACAAATACACCACACGTAACGTTTTTACAATTATTTATTATGCAATTATCACCGAAATTGACTATTGTACCGCTGGTAAGCGTATTATCTTGCGTGAGTTATCGTTAAATAAACAAACTTGAACCCGAATGTTAGACGCTCACCGCAGACGCTGTAAATAAAAATGCAAATACAAGTTGGTTGACCACTTTTCTAGTTTGAGTTAACCAGTTTCCGATATGTGGTGATATTTGATATAATTCCAAGTGGAATGCACGGAATTTAGAGTTCTCACTGATATCACTGCTCACTGGTTTTAGAAGCGTAGTTGTGTCTCCGGCGCTTGTTTACGATCAATTACGATGCTAATCTCGGCGACGCACATGCCTCCACTGACACTGCCGCCGAGTGTGCCGCCTAAACTAGACGTAGCAACACACAAATAAACCTCTACACCATTTACGAAACGCGCGCGATTGTAAACACGATCATCTGTTACCGCTACTAGGCAATGTGCAACACAACATTACTCCTGCTGGTCCTGCTGCCAGTGGCCTTGTAATACATACATAACAAGCTCACACGTGCAAACTGGACGGAATTGGGCTGGACTAACGAGTTTTTACGATGAAGTACGAGATTATTTTGAGGTTACATATGTAATGATGATACATCACTAGATTTGAAACTTTTAATTTAGTTTAGTTTAGTTTAGTTTAGATTTAGGTAGTTTAATAAATTTAAAGTGTGAAACAGTTTTACTTCATATTTAATATTTCAACCAATTAAAACGTACGTTTTATATTTATGCTTAATTCTGATTGGTCAAATCAAAATTACTGAGGTCAGAAATGTAAAGATGGTTGCGTGCTAACAGTACTGATTTACGTGTTTAGTTTGTCCAAACATAGCTTTATCTTTCAACTTCCACATACATAACCCAACATTTTTCTAGTGTGACACTGACAGCTCAGCATAACATTTACATTTCACTGCATTTCACATCTTACATTCCCAGTGCGAAAATTCTTAAATTAATTAATTAATAATAAATATTAACTGTTAATACTTGTAAGAAAAATATCTTACAGGTATTTTTACACACAGTAAGTCACATTATATTCCATTCTTTCATTAAATTTAATGAAACAATTGATAATCAACAGCTGTTCACTTGAAAATAATTCAAATTCATCAAATATTTAATAATAATCTCTTAAAAATTTTCAGTTTCTATTAAGTTTATGATGGATGATAGTCGTCTTGAGGCTATAATGGAAAAAATGAAGCAAATCGATGAAAATTTCAGCAATATGGAGTCAAAAACTAAAGCAACTCCAAGCAGAGCTGATTTAAAACCAATGTCTGATGTTGTAGTGGACACAAATCCATACAGTAGACTGATGGCACTGAAAAGAATGGGTATTGTTGATAACTATGAGAAAATTCGCGATTATTCCGTTGGAGTTGTGGGCGTTGGGGGAGTTGGAAGTGTCACTGCAGAAATGTTAACCAGATGTGGTATTGGTAAACTGATTTTGTTTGATTATGACACAGTGGAATTGGCGAATATGAACCGGTTATTCTATCAGCCGCATCAAGCGGGCATGACGAAGGTGCAAGCTGCTTCTTTGTCATTGACTCACATCAATCCTGATGTTATTATTGAAGCACATAATTATAATATTACTTTGTTGGAGAATTATGATCATTTCTGCAAACAACTCACGTGAGTATTATTTAATTTTGTTTAAATATTGAGTATTCTAACAGTATCAACATTTTAATAAGAAAAAACATTGTAAAATGTTCTAAAATTGTTGATTTTTGTTAAAATAACTGAAATTTTGTCCATTTTTATGATTTTTTTGAATTAATAATCGGAAAATGTCTGTTTTTCTTGTTTATTTCTGCATCAAAGAATTTTTTTGCTTCAAAACTCTATAAAAGTTACGTTTTTGATGTAAAAATACAAATTTTACTTACAAAAAGTTTTGAAAATGCGCAATTTTGTCTTTTTTGTGTATTTTTGGTGATTTTTACACAAAATTCCGCGTTAAATGTCTTTTATTACAAATTTTTCTATTTTTTTCTTTTATATTTCATAAATTTTCCTAATTTTGAATATTTTTAACCATTTTAGTGAAGGTGGCATCGATGGAAAACCCCTTGACTTAGTCCTTTGCTGTGTGGACAACTATGAAGCGCGTCTAGCAGTAAACACCGCGTGTAACGAACATGACCTCACCTGGTTTGAGTCCGGTGTAGCTGAAAATGCAGTCTCCGGCCACATCCAATACATCTGCCCTGGTGAAACCGCCTGTTTTGCCTGTGTGCCTCCCTTGGTAGTCGCTTCAGAAATCGATGAACGTACTCTGAAACGTGAAGGTGTATGCGCTGCGAGTCTTCCAACTACAATGGGAATTGTCGCTGGACTTTTAGTGCAAAACGCGCTCAAATATCTTCTTAAATTCGGAACGGTTTCGCATTATTTGGGTTATTCAGCATTAACTGATTTCTTCCCAACGATGCAACTCAAACCCAACGTAACTTGCGGTGATAGTCATTGTGTCAAGCAACAGAAACTGAAAGCAGAAGCGATAAAATCAAAAACAATTGAAGTAAAACCCGAAGAAGCGCCTGTGCATGAAGATAACGACTGGGGAATTTCATTAGTTGATGAGAGTGTTGTTAAAGAGGAGAAATTAGATGTTGCTGAAGGTATTTCGTTCGCTTATAATGTTGATACAACGCAGGAAACAGTTGGAGGTGGAGGTGGACCGGAAAATGAAGAATCCGAATCATTGGAGGACCTAATGGCGAAGATGAAAAGTATTTAAGCTTGTTATTAAAAAAATAAATATTTTATAAATAACTCAACATCAAAATTCACACGAAATTTAGTTTACAAACTGTTTAGACTCTGATTATGTGTAAAAACTACTCTCTGTTGCAATTTTTTACAAGTCTAGTGGGTTGTCATCATATGTTATTGTTTAGTTTGTCATTTGGATGTCTTATAGTTGCGGAATATATATTTTACGAATACTAACTCTTATTGACTTTGGTTTTAAGTGAACGATCACATTTCACACTGCAGTAAAGTTTGTTTTATAGTGGATATGAGAAGATAAAGTGCTTTTAGATAAGAAATAAACCAATAACTAGTGTTTAGTTATTAGAAAATTCACAGAATTTGCACAAAAATGCTAAAAACTTGAAAATATTCAAAAAAATGCTTTAAAATCGACGCCATTTTGATAATTTTCATTATGCAACCAGATATTCTCTTCAAACAATCCCAAAATATATTAAATTTCACCATTTTCTCAATAATACTAATGCAATCTCCTAATTAGTGCTTAAAACCATGATTTATAAAACAAATCAATTTAACCTTACTTTTGAAATATAAAGCTACAGATCAATGAGATTTTCAACAGGTACATTTGATCTGCTCTGCACAATTTGCTGCTGATGTTGATTATTAGTTGAGTGATGATCATAAATCTTAGTTGTAGTTCTAGCACTAGTTGTACTTGTGGCTGTCACATGTGATTGGCTATAAAACGTTGACTTGCTCATCCTTCTACTTATCACATCTACATCATTACTGTCATTGTTCGCCAGCCCCAACACAGGAAATTGATAAAAAGTGCTGCTATTTTTATTCTCAGGCTGTACTTGAGTTTGTTGTTGAATTTGTCTGAGTTTTTGTTGATTATGTTGACTAATTTGACTACTATGCATACTGTATGGACTACTCCATGTAATTCCTTTTAATTTAGCCAATTTACACTGTAGGACTTCATACTGTGACTTCCAATGAGTGTAAGAAGCCACTTTTAATGCTGCTACCCATTTATTTAGGTCTTCCTGGCATCTGCAGGTGAAAACGTGTTTGCCATCGTTCGATGTGAGCGAAAACGCGAACGCTGCTGGTCCAGGCGATTCGTACGCGACTTCCATTTGTTCTAGAACAAACACACCGAGTGGGTCTTCTAGATCGGTGACACGATAATAGAAGAGGAAATTGTGGACCAGCTTGAAGATGCGCTCCTTGTATCCGGACGTTTGGTACCAGTCTGACCAGTCGCCTCCTTGTGGTTTCATGTAGTGTAATGTGCCCTGGACGGTCGCGCGCTTGGCCGCCAACTGCTTGAGTTCTTTATCGTTGAAGCGCATCGTTGTTTACGGAGTATTGTCACTTGGCGCACTTATAAACTGGCACTGATAGCGCGATAACACGCTATGAACAGTGCGTGAGTAATGCAGGTTGAGAGCGCAAATCAACCAGATGGGTACAAGTAGTGGGGAAAACTGATTGTAGCTCGAAATAAAACAATGTACACGGAAACAAGCACATTATCTTGTGTAATAATATATTGGTAACAAAGTAACCCAGTGGGTGTTTGTAATTTATGCAATAATGGAGAATTTTGTTTAAACAACACTTCTAAATGTTTGGTGTATATTAAGTTGCCTATAGACATCACTCATATATTTGAATAAATTGTATTTTACGACGAAATGTGATCAATGCCAAACAATTTTATTATAAAACTAACGATATTACGCGTGTTTATTAAACGAAATATGTTTGGAAGTGAATTTGTAATAGTTCAATCCAAAATATTAAAGTAGAAATAATTATGCAGCAAACCCAAATACCAAATGCACCTTTAAGATGTTCTGGATTTAGTTCTATGACATTTGTTTTTGGGACACTGCGATCCCAAAATGCCAACAAGAAACTCATATTGTACCTCTTCATATAAACTTCCCACTCCCATTTCACATACAATCCAACTTCTTTGGTTCGTATAGCGAAGTCGTTTATATTGGGGGCGAGATAAAGAGTATCAGGATCGGCAAATTGCAATCCCATGTATTCAACAGCAGCAACCAGATTAACAATTGTAACATTTGGTGACCGACGTCGAAAAGGTTCTAATGCAATTACAACTAAAATTATAATGAACTAATTGATTGTTATTCATTAAAATTTCATAACTTACATCTTGCAGGAGTTTCACCAACCATCATTGCTTCAATATCTTTAGCCCTGTATACTCCGCTGGTGTTACAACGTGAAAGCACATTACTTTTATAGTCCTAGAATATTACTTGTAATAATTGTTAATATATTTATTGAATAAGTTAATTACCTTATAATTTACCGCTTGTTTATAAGAATTATAACATCTGATTACTAGTCCCGACTCATCCAAATCTTTCCAAGTTCGAATATGATTTTCTAAACTAAAAATAAAAAAAATAAAATTTTAAATTAAAAAAAAATTTAAATTTTACCTTGAAGCAATTAAATTCTCAACTATTCCAGAACCAAACAACGCAGCATATAATGTAGTCAGCATTATTACCAAACCAAATATGGTACGAGATCGAACACGAGTTTGCAATTCAGTATCATTCACACCTTGTGAAAAAAATAATCCAACGATTGAAAGAGTTTTAAGTTTCGGTTGATCACTAAAAATGGTATATGTAATAAGTGTTTACTTGACTTGATTTTTTTTATGTGTTACTATTCAAGTATGTATTGAAACCAGAAATAAAAGGCAGCAAATACAAAGGATACAATTACAGACATCCATAATTCCAGTGGCAGGACATTAAACAATTGTGACCAGTGCACAAATATTCTATAAATGAGTAGGAATAAAAATATTTTGTTTTCAGTGTAAAATTGGTGATTCTTTTTGACCTTGGTTTTGGAACCATAAATATCATTGCAATGATATCAGTTGGTTGAAGGGCTACATCAATACTGCCCTCCTGAAAAGGTGCTCCACATAATATGGCTTGTGGACTATCCCCGTCTTGTTCCTCAAGTTTCATTTCCCAAACTCTGGCGAATTCCACTAAAATATTGTAATCACTACCAATTGTTTTGTCTTAAAAGATCTTTAAAATTAGTATTTGCTTTGATTGGTGTTTTTTGAATAAAGTGAATGAAACTTACTATTTGAATCCATTGAAACAAATGGTTCATAATTATATACAACTGTTCGCAGCATCGCTTTTGACTTAAATCTGTTCTTCAAATCATAAAAATGCAATTTTTTATGAATGAATTGGTTGTTTTTTATGTTCCATTTATTTATCACCACGGGATTTATCATATCCCAATCGTTTAAAACTATAACATCGAAATGATCATCGTTTTGTTGGAGAAAAACAGCATTTCTCGCAAATAAATTGGAGGCGTTGTATGATTTAAATGTATCTTTATTGAGTATTATAATGCTGGTCATGTTTCGATTGAAAAAGGCGAAAGAATAGAATAGGAGAAGTCTTGCGTAGCCGGATATAATGGGATCATATAGAATTAAACCATTGCAACCACGGACGATGGTTTGAGGTGGGTTGATAACAAACTTTGTAATTGCTGGAGATACTGATAATGGTAAATCTGAGTGTTTATCAAGTATCGTGAAGCAATTTATTTGTGGGAGATTGGTTTGTATTATTGTGTTTATTAAAAGATGCAAGGAGACAGACGTTGTTACATTATTGATGGAAATGTCCATTTTTGATAAAGTGTGACGAATGACTGACACTAAATTATATCCACTTTTTTGGCGCTAGTTTGTGTTGTGATACACACAGCTATTACGAGAGCTTTTATTATGTTTAAACAAATATATTGCGATGATTCTGTATTGGCAAACATATAATAATATTACAGAATAATAACTAGCATGCTTTTTTGTACCATGATTAAGGTGCAAATATAAAAAAAAACATTACTTATGTTGCTTTTAATAACGTAAATGAATTTGGAAGTAGGTTGATTCTCTGAAGTGGCCATTAATTACTTATTGCAAACAACAAAACTAGAAATGAGTACATCTAATGATAAACATTGATGAAACCGTTGAAATTATTTTGACTATTTGGGAAATATTTTCGATCGTCGATAGAAAGGATAAACGGGTTTCACTGAAACTTTTAGATGAATATTCATCTGCCTGATGATGCCACAGTGTGGCGAAACATGTCGCAGAGTAGTAAAAGTTTCAGTGAAACCCGTAAGGTTTATCCTTTCTATCGACGATTACAATGGGGTTTCATCATGTAAGTGCCACATCAATTAAATATTTTCGAAACCAGCCTGTTTTGCCTATTTTCTAATTCAGCTACGTTTAGTAGTTGAAAGAGAATTGCGAAGGAAGTCTAGTTGCCTTTTTTATTGCTGATTTCTTTCCTCCTTGACGTATTCTTTAATAGTCAAACATAAAAATAGAAGAAAACACTTGAAAACGCCCAAAATAGAGGTTGCAAAATCTGCCTGTCGATAATATTTTTATAGGAAATTAATTTTTATTGCAATTTGCGCCTTCAGTTAAAGTCTTAAGAAATGACACTGAGGAAAACATCAAAAACTTATATTAATTTCGATTTAGTATACATTACGTTATACGAGAATCAACCAGATAGTTAAAAGTTGCGGGAAAAACTGATTGAAGCTTAAAATAAAATAATTTACACAGAAACACATACATTATCTCGTGTAATAATATATTGGTAACAAGTAATCCAGTGGGCGTTTATAATTTATACAATAATTAAGATTTAGTTTAAATATCACTTCTAAACATTTGTTGCATATAAAGTGGCGACCAAATATGATAGTACCAACCATTGTATAACAAAATATGTTCATTATATGAAATATGTTTGGAAGTGAACTTGTACTAGTTCAATCCAAAATATCAAAACAGAGACAACTAGGCAGCAAACCCAAATACAAAATGCCCCTTTAAGATGTTCTGGATTTAGTTCTATAACATTTGTTTTCTGGACACTGCGATCCCAATATTCCAACAAAAAACTCATATTATACTTCTCCATATAAACCTCCCACTCCCATTTCACATACAAACCAACTTCCTTACACCGTATTATAAAGTCGTTTACATAGGGAGCAAGATAAAGAGTATCAGGGTCCCCAAAGTGCAATCCAAGGTAGTTTACACCAGCTTCTAGATTAACAATTGTAACATTTGGTGACCGAAGTAAGAAAACTTGGAATCCCAATACAACTGCAATCATAACGTACAAATTTATTGTTATCCCTACTAATATTATAAATGCAAAAGTCCTGATGTTTGTTACACTTTTACGCAAAAACTACTTAACCGATCATCATGAAAATTTGTACACATATTCTTAGTGGTCCCCGGTTATAGGCTACTTTTTATTTAATAAAAAAAGTATTTTTTAAATAAAATAAAGAAATTGTTTAGCCAATAATACCTGCATCTGGCTATTTGACTACTTTAACGCCATCTAGCATTCCAGCAATGAAGCTCAAACCTAAGTACTATAGTACCATCACACTGTATTATCACACTGTATTACCGACAGCTACGTCAACATCAAATTCAATTGACTACACTATGGAGACGGTACACTATACTTCCATAGACTATACTTTCAGTCATTTTAAACTTCCCGCCATTCTACTTCATTGTTACTTCTTCTGTGACTACAGACGCGTACGGAAGCAACTTCATTATTTTAGATATTCGCGAGCGAAGACGCGGGTTAAAGCTAGTTCATTATAATTCTATAACTTACATCTTGCTGGTGATTCACCAACCATCATTGCTTCAATATCTTCAGGGATGTATACTCCGCTAGTGTTACAACGTGAAAGCACATTACTTTTGTAGTCCTAAAATTTATTCGGAAATATTAATTGTTATAATTTTTAATATATATATATATTGAAAATTACTGAAAGATCTGCGGTTCTATGATAAGAATGAAAACATCTAATTACTAGTCCTGACTTATCCAAATCTTCCCAGGTTCGAATAACATTTTCAAAACTAAAAGTATAAATAATTATCACATTAGAGTAAAGTATTAATAATTTTACCTTGAAGAAATTAAATTCTGAACTATTCCAGAACCAAACAACGCAGCATATAATGTAGTCAGCATTATTACCAAACCAAATATGGTACGAGATTGAACACGAGTTTGCAATTCAATATCATTCACACCTTGTGAAAAAAATAATCCAACGATTGAAAGAGTTTTAAGTTTCGGTTGATCACTAAAAATGATATATTTAATAAGTGTTCACTAAACTTGATTTTTTTTATGTGTTACTAGTGAATTATGTATTGAAACCAGAAATAGAAGGCTGCAAATACAAAGGATACAATTACAGACATCCATAATTCCAGTGGTAGGACATTAAACAATTGCGACCAGTGTACAAATATTCTATAAATGAGTAATTATAAAAATACTTTGTTTTCAGTGTAAAATTAATTGTAATTCAGTGTAATTTAATAAACCTTGGTTTTGGAACCATAAATTTCATCATAATGATATCAGTTGGTTGCAAGGATGAACCGATACTGCCCGGATAGAAAGGTTGGCCACAGACTACTGCTTGTGGAACCTCCGAATTCTGTTCAGCAATTTTCATCTTCCAAACTCTTGCGAATTCAACTAAAATGTTGTAATCGCTACCAATTGTCACGTCTGAAATAAATATTAAAAACATTTTCCTGTTTTTTTTTTTAGTTTTTTGGTAAAGTAGACTTTAACTTACTATTTGAATTCCTCTCAACAAATGGTTCATAATTATATACAACTGTTCGCAGTAATGCTTTTGACTTAAATCTGTTCTTCAAATCATAAAAATGCAATTCATTATGGATAAATTGATTGGTTTTTATGTTCCATTTATTAATCACCACGGGATTTATCATATCCCAATCGTTTAAAACTATAACATCGAAATATTCATCGTTTTGTTTAAGAAAAACAGCATTTCTCGCAAATATAAAAGTGGAGTTGTATGATTTCATTGTATCTTTATTTAGAATTATAATACTGGTGATGTTATAATTGAAAAAATCCAGATAATATGTAATAAGAAGTTCAGAATTGCCGGAAGTAAGTGGATCATATAGAATTAAACCATGGCAACCACTGACGACGGTTTCAGGAGGCGGATTGATAACAAACTTTGTAATAGTTGGAGATGCTGACACCGATAAATCAGAGCGATTATCAAGAACTGTGAAGCAATTTATTTGTGGGAGGTTGGTTTGTATTATTGTGTTTATTAAGAGATGCAAGGAGACAGACGTTGTAATATTATTGATGAAGATGTCCATTTTTGACTAAGTGAAGTGAATGACTGACAGAATATAGGTAATATACCAAATTATATTTAGTGTTTTGGAGTTAGTTTGTGTTGTGATACATACATTTATTACGATAATATTTATTATATTAAAACAAATATATTGCAATGTTTCTATATTGGCAAACATATTATAACATAAAAGGTTACTCGTAATAACATGCACGCATTTTCGTTTCACGATTAAAATGCAAATATAAAAAACGGTACTTATGTTGCTTGCAATAACGTAAATGAATTTGGAAGTAAGGTAATTCACATTTATTTATTGCAAACAACGAAACAACGATAAATTCGTCTAATAATATTCAGCATATTTTTCAAGGTATTGACGAAAATTGTTAAATATTGAAGAAAAACTTCTTGTCTTTTTAAATTCACTTGGATTTTCTCCTTTTTCCTCCTATTCTTCCCGCTATTTCCACTTGCAGGAAAACCGCAAGTCTCCTGATCTCTACTTATCCCCCACCCAGGTTTTCTTCTCTGGACTGAGTGCAGTAGGCTAAGTAGTCTAGGAAATTCCTATTAGGAATCCATTTATGTACACATGAGCAGAAGGGGAATACTAAGGTTGGGGTGGGTTGGATTTGCACCTACTACATATTACAAACAGTTATTCTTATTAATTTTGCCATTATTACTTCTTTCGTTGATGAATTCTTTAATGGATTAACATAAAAATAAAAATAAACATTTTAAAAGCACAGAAAATATTCTGAAACCATTCAAAACATGCACGTCGATAATATCTCTATAGGTAAATAATTTTTTATATATCCTGCGCCTT